AGAGATCGACGTGAAAGGGACACATCGAGTGGCCGCCACCCACACGACCCAACCAGGGCCTGGGACAAACTGCAACCGAGGTACATGCCCTTAGCGGGAACCGAACCCGGGTCTCTCCACACTGCAGGCCGACGCTCTAACCGCTGAGCCAAACTGGCCAGGGCAGAAGTATTTTAGAGATTAAGAAAATAAAGGTCAATGAGATAAACAATGTTTTAAAGGTTTTATATGTACAAATACATTTTCTTCAGCTTTTGGGAGTTTATAAAATGTAATATTTAACAAAGGGAGCCCTGGCCAGTTTGGCTCAGCGGTTGAGCATCCGTCTGCGGACCAGAGAATCCCAGGTTTGGTTCCCACTAGGGGCACGTACCACACACACACAAAAAAACAAAACAAAAAAACAAATGGAGATCTCAGAATATATCACTACAAAAGCAATGTTTTAATGACCTTACACGACAAGAGTGCATTCAGAGACAGCCTACGGTCATTTGTGGATGTGCCTTCCATTTTGAATTTTTGAAATCCTCTTCAAACAGTTATATGTTCACAGGACTAAAATAAATATCATGAAGATGCCATCTAATATCACTGTCTCATCTTGCCATGAATGATCACTGACTGCTCAAGGGGGAAGCATTTACCTAAGGAAATGTCCACAGAAGTGGTCCACTAGGGCTTTACTTTGTTGCTAAATGAAAGATTCTTAACGGGAAAAGTCCTTTATGGAAGACTTCTACTGGCTGGTTTCCATAAACTAATTAATTTTAAATCCTTGTTAAGGATAAATGCAACAACAGCATTGTGAGTACCAGAGGGAAAGGAGAAGAGAGGAGGTAGAAAAATGTCAAGGGGAGATAAATAGTGATGGAAGGAGACTTGACTTTGGGAGGTGAACACACAATGCAATATACACATGATATATTATAGAATTGTACTCTTGAAACCTATTTAATTTTATTAACCAATGTAACCTCAATAGATTTAATAAAAAAGTAAAAATATTTTTAATTAAATAAAAGGGTAAACGTGCTTAGGGTTTTTGGCCACCTAAAAGGAACAATGTTGCCTAATACCACAGTAAAGGAAAACAAACAAAATTTATCCACAAACATTTTATAGTACAACAATAAGCTTAATTCTAATATTCAATATTACAATTTTTCTTTGATTGTTTATATCCTTTTCCCCCCAAATGAAAGTTTCCCCCAACAATTTAACTTCCAGAGTTAATGTAGTTAGCTTAGAATCATTCATTTTTACCTTCCTATAATTGTATTCATTAAATTCACTAAAATACTTTATATGCAAATAAATATCAGCAACTATACAATTGTTTTTTAAAAACTCTATTTAGGTAATTAAAAATGGGGTTTAAAAAATCTAGGTCCTTGAAAATTAAAGATGCCTTATTTAATTATACTTACTTATAAGGCTCATGGATATTATTCTAGACCAGTGAGCAACTATAACTAAAAGTAATATTGCATGTTAGTTTTACGGAAAGAAAGTATAATAGGAAAAAATCATAATTAGTTACTTTATGCACTGATTTAACTATTATGATGACTCACATGGAATATTCTAGAACCTTTATGTTTAGCATCATTTATAATTTCCCAAATATTGCTTATATTCAACAGATGATATTTATAGAAATTAATAAAATTCTCTTACATAAAGTTGAAATTTCAAGAGTAGAACTGGATTTGTGAGATACTCATGGTTTGGGGTCTTCAGCATCCATTCCAGCCACATAAGAGCTGTTTAAGGTTCAGTTTTATTTGAGTTCAGATTAGTTCTCTTGTCAACCTGTAACTCATGTCTCCTATTTTCTTATCTTATTGAAGTCCTAGTATTCTTTGGTATCTTTGTTTTTTCATTTTGTGATGTTTTACTTGCTCCATAATTTGATCTTGCATTTTAAAATATATTACTGGGCCCTGGCCGGTTTGGCTCAGCAGTTAGAGCATTGGCCTGTGGTCCAGAGAGATCTGGGTTCGGTTCCCACTAAGGGCGCGTACCTCAGTTGCAGTTTGTCCCCAGCCCTGGTTGGGTCGTGCAGGTGGCAACCACTCAATGTGTTCTTTTCATGTTGATGTTTCTCTCTCTCTCTCTCTCTCTCCCTCCCACTCAATCTGAAAAAAAAAAAAGTGGAAAAATATCCTCAGGTGAGGATAAAAATAAAATAAAATAAAATAAAGTATATTACTGGTAGTTAGCTTTACTGTTTTCTTCAGTGAAATCTAAAGTATGATGAGAAGAAGAAGTGGATTAAAATGATAGTCTAATTAACATCTGAACAATGCAGAGTCAGGGATGCTGATGCTCGTGTAGTGAAAAATCCACATAAAACTTTAGATGCCCCCAAAACTTAACTACTAATAGCCTACTGTTGACCAAAAGTCCTACTGATAACATAAACAGTCAATTAACACATTTTGTTAAATACTGTGTTCTTATAGTAAAGTGAGCTAGAGAAAAGAAAATGTTATTAAGAAAATATAAGGATAGAAAACATATTTACAGTAATTTTTTAGGGAAAAAACCTACATATGCGTGCAATTCAAACCCTTGTTGTTCAAGGGTCAACTCTCTATATAAAATAATAAACATGCCATTGCTATACTGTTGGGAATATAAGCAGAAAAAGCCTTGTTAAACTTTGCTAATTTGATAAATTATGGTTTTCCCTCTACTCTGATTAATGATTGTGTGGGTGATTGATGAGTTATTACACTGAATTTAGGCTGAGAATTATATACTAGTTATTCATGATCAAAATTTTATAGCTCTTTGAAAATGTTGAAAACCCTGTTTGACTTTTTATCACTTTGGTACCAAGGCTCTGAAAGGTTCTTTTAGAATCATGTTATTCCCTTGGCATGTATGTATTCAAGAAAGGATATTGGTTTAGACATGAATAAAATAAAAAAGAAAGTGAAATCTTGTAAATAGAGATCTTTCAAACCAGGAAAAAATTAAAGCATAAATTAATCTACAATTTAAAGCTTCCTAATGTATGGAATGTTTACAAAAGCGAGGACTCCAGCCCACCCACATACGAGAATACATCATTTAAGTTATCCCGCTTTGAGAATAATGCCCCAAAGTTTACCTCCATCTTTTGATTAAGGTCTTGCACTTTGGGTGGGAGAATCCTTCAGTGGATCTTGCCCTTTGATTCCTTAAATGTTAGTGTTTGTTTGTTTTATTTTGTTGATGGGCAGCATGAAAGAGCCCTGAACATTCACCTCTTAGCAACAGGCTCCTGATGTTGAAGGAAATAGCGCACTTAGTGACCGAGTCTCACTAGGAAGTGCAGGCTATGAAGCTGAGCGACGGCAGGAAGAGCCGCTGGTCTCTGACTAGCTAGCCTGAGCTGGCAAGGTGGACACCGCTGCTGGCACGATTTAAGTTAATTTAAATTATAAGACCTCATAGTTGTTTTAAATGCTACACTGCAAGACATGAGCACAAACTAGACATACTTTATATTTGTGTACAGTTTATAAAATCAATTCACACATATTTCTAATATAATGCACATCTTTATTTATTCAAGATACACTTACTGAATGCCAATCCCGTGCCAGGATCACAAGGTAACTGATGGAGCTCAGTCACTGGTGCAAGGGACTATTAAAAGCTGGCTGCCTGCCCGCGCAGGCGCAGGCCGTGAGAGGCCTGCTCTTTCTCCCGGGCCCCTGCCAGGGTCCTCTTGCAGCAAACGTTCTCTGAGCATTCTGCATAGTTGAGGGGCCCTCGGAGGTTGATGCAGCGCCCTCTAGTCAGGAGGCTTCCCTGACAAATCCCTTAGCTTATACTTTGAGTTCAACCTTGATTCCATCTCCAAAAATGTTAAAATAAGACATTTTAAGTTTAGACATAAAATGCAGGTGATGTACCAGACATGTATACCTTATGTTGTACTGCATCATAAAGAGAAGCTGCCCCATGGAACTGTGCACTGTTGTGATACTGTAAAAATATCGTCATTGTAAATTCTTAAGAAGTCACAACCTAAAGAAAATATTTATATATAATATATTATATACTTATATTGAGTGTTCTGAATGCATTTATATTAAATATATGTTAAATATATTAACATATTTTAGCCTGTTTTGATTAGATTGGTATTTTATTTCTTTGAATATGTGAAAATATAAATACTTATTATGTCAACAAAAGAAATAATGTATCTACTGGTATAGATTTATGGCATGAAAGAAATAATTGCACAGAAACGGGAGGATGCTAATTAGTAGAAGGCGTTTCAGACCAAATGCTACAGCTCTCGTTCTTCAGAGACGCGCCCGCACCACACCCGCAAGCAGCGTGAGGAGCGGGCCGCCCCCGTGGCAGCCAGCGGCACGTCTCCTCACTGCAGCCACTGTGCACGCACATTACGTAATGTTTTCCCAAAAGTACACAAAATGTTGTCAGAGTACATACAGTTGCCTAGCTATCTTGGAAACATGAGGTGTTTAAAAAATATGAATTCCTTAGGCCTCCTGATATTTTATTTACTAAAATCCATGTTAAATGTTGAAGTGTAAAAATGAATTTATTGCATATCAGCAAGGAGCTTTTTAGAAAATGAGAAAGTAGCATCTGAATGGTAAATTAAATAAGATTAGAAAAACATGACATAACATTTTACCAATTAATTAATTAAATAATCACTGAGCAATCATGACTCAATCAACCATAAAGTTATTATAATTTTCCCCATGTAAAGACAACAACTAATAAAAAATAATAATAAAACAAAAAGCAACAAAGTATAAAGTTCAGACTGAAATTATTTAGAAAAGATAAAAAAGGTGAATGTTATATGGATTTTTGCTACTGAAAATTCTGATTCAGACAAGAAACAAAGATTAATTACATTAAAGGCAGTGTCCAACATGGATGAAGTGATGGCGCGAACAAAACAAGATGCTTACCAGAAGAAGAAGATAAAGAAAATTAGAAAGAATAAAAGTACTTACTGGGGAAAACCACATCACTTTAAGAATCCAAACAGTAAGAGCGAAATTCACAAGAAGGATGACGAGTAGAAGAAGAACAAATAGGTAGAGGCAGCGCTTCCTCCAGCCGTAGATGCCGATTTCGTAGACACACTGGTTTTCTGGCCTCTCTACCTGGGTGCCCTCTGTTACGGTAGTGTACTGTTCCCGCACCATCTGCCAGGGTGTGGGGTCAGGGCGTGGGGAGAGCGGGGAGGGGGGAAGAGGGCCGGGAGGGGGTTGTGGGGGAGGGAGCCAGGGAAAGAGGGAGGGACAGACAGAAAGAGAGAACTTGTTTGTCAATACTGATTTACAATGAGTCCAACAAAATATTTTTTATCCCAATAATAAACTGCTATTTTAAAAAGAGAAGTAAAATTATTTTCAAACAGGTCACTATATTTCAACCACATAATTTAATTTCTCATGCAAAATATTTTAGATATGACATACCCATTTCAAGTCCAATGGCCATATTTTCAGATTTTAATCAGTACATTCAGTATATATACAGCTTTCAAAATTCTGCAGGTTAAACTTGTAATTGATTTATCAACCTCAAATAATCAAGTTATCAAATTCTTAAAAGATTCAGTAGGAGGAAGATGAAACTGGTATTTACATATCTTCTAAAAAATAGAATCCAATGATTCAGTTTTTTTTTTTTTTTATCCTCACCCGAGGACATTTTTCGATATTTTGTTCAGATAGAGTGAGAGGGAGAGAGAGAGAGAGAAACATCGACGTGAAAGGGACACATCGAGTGGCTGCCACCAACACGACCCAACCAGGGCCGGGGACAAACTGCAACCAAGGTACATGCCCTTAGCGGGAACCGAACCCGGGTCTCTCCGGACCGCAGGCCGACGCTCTATCTGCTGAGCCAAACCGGCCAGGGCCAATGATTCAGTTTTATGTCAAATAATTAAATTGTCTTTCTTCGGCTACCAAATTACTCAGAATTAAAAAGTCTCTTTATAAGGTACCTACCACACTAACTTTTATCTATAATTAAGTTTCCAAGTATTGACCTATTTAGGAAAGACCATAACATGTATGCATACAAATGTTTGAAAATATTCCTTATTTTAAGTAAGTAGGTGTTTTAGTAAAAATTTCAATTGGAAGAATTAACATCATTAAAATGTCCATATTAGCCAAAGCAATCTATAGATTCAATGCAATCCCCATCAACATAGCAATGACATATTTTACAGAACTAGAAAAAATACTTCAAAAGTTCATATGGAACCAAAAAAGACCTCAAATAGCCACAGCAATCTTGAAAAAGAAGCACAAAGTAGGTGGGATCACAATACAAGATATCAGATTATACTAAAAGCAACTGTAATCAAAACAGCCTGGTACTAGCACAAGAACAGACATATAGACCAAGGGAACAGAACAGAGAACCCAGAAATGGACCCAAGACATTATGCTCAATTAATATTTGACAAAGGTGGCAAGAGCATACAATGGAGTAAAGACAGCCTCTTTAATAAATGGTGTTGAAAAAATTGGACAGCTACATGCAATAAAAATGAAACTAGACCATTAACTTACACCATACACAAGAATAAACTCAAAATGGATAAAAGACTTAAATGTGTCCCATAAATCCAAAAAAATCCCAGAAGAAAATGTAGGCAACAAAATTTCAGACATAATACGCAGCAGAATTTTCACTGATACATCACCTAAGGCAACAGAAACAAAGGAGAAAATGAACACATGGGACTACATCAAACTCAAAAGCTTCTGCACAGCAAAAGAAATAATCATCAAAATGGAAAGGCTACCCACTGTATGGGAGAACATCATTGCCAATGATATATCAGATAAAGGGTTAATTTCCAAAATATATAGAGTGTTCATACAACTCAATAAAAGGAAGACAAATAACACAATTAAAAAATGGGCAGAGGAGCTGAATAGACACCTCTCCAAACAGGACATACAAATGGCCAAGAGACATATGAAGAAATGCTCAACATCACTAATCATCAGAAAGATGCATATTAAAACAACAATGAGGTATCACCTCACACCTGTCAGAATGGCCGCCATCAACAAATCATCAAACAAGTGTTGGCGAGGGTGTGGAGAAACGGGGACTCTAGTGCACTGCTGGTGGGAATGCAGACTGGTGCAGCCACTGTGGAAAACACTATGGTGTTACCTCAAAAAACTAAAAATTGAACTACCATTTGACCCAGTGATCCCACTTCTAGGATTATACCCTAAGAAGCCTGAAACACTAATCAGAAAGAATATATGTACCTCCATGTTTGTAGCAGCACTATTTACAATAGCTAAGATCTGGAAACAGCCCAAGTGTCCATCAGTAGACGAATGGATAAAAAAGCTGTGGTACATATACATGATGAAGTACTATGCAGCTGTAAGAAAGAAAGATCTCTTATCCTTTGAGACGACATGGAGGGACCTGGAAAGTATTATCCTAAGTGAAACAAGCCAAGCAGAAAAAGACAAATACCACATGATCTCACTTATATATGGAATATAATGAACATAACAGTCTGAGGAACAGGGTAGACCCAGACATGGAAGTAGGGTACAGACTGACATCCGCCAGAAGAGGGGGTGGTGGGGGAAGGGAAGAGATAAACCACAGAACTTATATGCATGTATGCATAACCAATGGACAGGGACAACAAAGCTGGGGATGGGGTGGGGGGATGGGGAGGAGGGTGTCAGTGGGGTAAAAAAGGAGAAACATCTGTGACAAAAATAAAATTAAAAAAAAAGAGATCATTATGGATCAAGAAAAAAAAAGTTTCAACTCTGTGAAGAGATTTCTAAAAATTACTAATTTTCTCCTTTATGCAAAGAAAAAAAGAAAGTGGTTTCAATATATATATAGAATTAAGATTAGAAATTATACAGATGTAAAAATAGAAGGATCTCTTACTCTTTGAGAGTACATGGAGGGACCTGGAGAGTATTATGCTAAGCAAAGTAAGCCAGTCAGAGAAAGACAAATACCACATGATGTCACTTATATGTGGAATCTAATGAACAAAATAAACTGTTGGAAAAAACAGGTCCAGAGGCATGGATGCATGGAACAGACTGACAGAGCTCAGGGGAGGGAGTCGGGTGGGAAGGGAAGAGATTAACCAAAGAACCTGTATGCATTTGTGCATAGCCTGTGGACACAGACAACAGTGTGGTGGGAGCTGGGTGGAGGGCGGCCAAGGAAGGACTGTGGGGGACATCTGTAACACTGACAACGATAAAAGAGAAACATGTACCCAGGTGACACTAATGCACTGACATCTCTCCCCTATCTCATCCCTTTGGCCACAGAGGTGTCCCCAGGACCAGCCTACAGAGGAGGAAAAAGGCCTAGTGTGCTTTCAGGGTGGCTTGCTTCGGGGTTGGTGCGAGCCACAAAAGGCCTGGTGCTGGACCACAGCCCTAACCAGGGTGATTCTGAAAGGTGTGCTGATTGTCTTTCCAGCAGACAAAGCTTCAGGCAGTTCATCTGCTTTTAACCCTGTGCAGAAAATGAAATAAGCTGAGGTTAGAATATATGTGGTCTCACAGATGGTGGTGAATGTCCTGGCCGATTCCTCCACGTCTGGAAGGAACTGTCTGAAAGAGGGAAGACAAAGAAGTCTGGGAAAAGGCTTATGGGTGAACCTCCTGGGCACAAAGGGAGAAGATTTTTGTGTCTCATGTTAACACCTTGCAGCACATCTGTTGTACAGAGATCAAACAATTACAATGACTCAGCCAGTGGACACCAGCCAACCCAGCACCCCTCACCCAAGTGCTCTCACAATGGGCTCATGTACAGAGTGGCTATGGTGTAGGGAGAAGGGGGTTGGTGGATGGACAATCTGTAACCTTGTGATACGCATTCTTGCAACCTGGCCAGCCTAGCATCAAAGTGTTTGTGTGGACAGACAGGTTTGACTGGAGGGCAGGAAAACCACCTTGGATGCATGTGAATGCTTCGTTTGCATGTGTGTAAGATAAGGTTTGCATGACAAAGGTTGGAACACCACCTTGCGTGGCCAACAAGTTGTAGGATTCAAGAACTTCTGGGTTTGTTATTTTTTTAGCTTTAAAGTCTCATTCCGCTGTAAAAAGCGAAAGACAAGGTTAGGCTGTATGGTTCACAGAGATGCCATCTCAAGGAAATAATTTCCATAAATCCACATGTAACTTGGGGAACCAATCTGCAAATAAATTGGGCTGCATCCAGAGATCTGGAGCATTTGCTCCCTTGTGATGCTCCTCCTCACTCTTACCAGCACGTGTTTGTAGTTCATTGTGTTGTGCCGACCCTCGGCAGGCCGAGAGAAACGGCACTATGGGGGCTGGAATGGAGGCCGCACAACAAAGGCTCTCAGCAAGGCTGACACTGCTCACTGTTCAAGCTGCCAACAACAGACACCGAAGTGGAGCGTGGACATAGCACCATCCCTCAGTCAAATCAAGCAGCCACTTGGTGGCGAGTTGGTTACCTCATTGTGGCTGGAACTGACACACAGGCTGAGTATGGGCTAATTTTTTTTTTTCTGCTTTCAGGGCCTCAGGCAGCATCACTGTCCAAGAACTTAGAGAATGTTTGATTCACTGATGTCAACCCCATGTGACAATGCAATGAACCAAATGATCCACTTTACAACAAAGGCAGCGTAGCACTTGACTATGGATTCTACTGCCTTTATCACCTATTGTATTCCCCAGAAGCTGCCATCCTGGTAGGGTGATGGGACAGCCTTTTAAAGTTGCTGTTGGGGCCCCATCGTGGAGATGCCATGAATATGGATGATGCTTCAGGATGCAGACTGCATATCGTAAATCAACCACCAGCATGGTGCTGTGTCCCCGGTGGGTAGTATACATTGGCCTGGGATCCAAAGGAGAGAGTAGGAGTGGTCTTTCTTACCATAATTTTTAATGACACAGATGAGAAATTTTTGCCTCCCATCCCCACAACTATTGAGCCTTCCAGCCCCACAACTGTGGGTTCTGTGGATCTAGGAGTCGGTTTCCTGGGAATGCTGCCATCAGAGGGTGTGACACGCATACCATCAATGTTCAAGCTGCCATCCAGTCACTTCAGCTCCTCATACCAAGATACCAGTTGGAAGGAAAAGATGCATCATTCTGACAGTATTTGGCTGGGAAGAATAGGTCTG